CGCTAATACCGATCAGGGGTATCCAGAGGACTATCACAGTCCGTTGGCACTAAGTGCGCCGCAGGTGGCCATGGGGCTTGAACCCACAACCTCCTGAATGCCATGGTGTTCTTTTTACTTTCTTTTTTTTTTTTTTTTTTTCCCCCTTCAAGCCGAGAGTGTTGTAGAGGGTGCAGTTCCGGCATGTTCCCTCGTTGGAGGCTTGAGCACGGATGTGGCTGCTATGGGGTTCCCCGTAATACTATAATGACAAAAAAAAAACAAAAAAAAGAGGMCAAGGACCAGACCCGCGGTGATTGCTGGGAGAGGCAGCCAACGGTTGTCCTGACAGGATAGGCCATCTACCCTACCCATCCCCACATTAATACTCCCAGGGCACACCCTGTCCCCACTATCCTACCTCAGGGCATACTCACACGGGAACCAAAAGTCTCAAAAATTTGAGGCATTTGGCTAGGGTTTTTTTTCAGGCATTTGGTCCCAGTGTGACCACACACGGGCCGACTTCATCCAGAAASGACGAAGTAGCGACCCTGACACTTTGCACTCAGGGAAAGTGCGCCCCGTCACACTCGCGAGGACMAAACAAAAAAGGGAATTTGTTTGTTTTGTTTTTTCATGCCAGTATCAGGCCTGGGCCTTCTGTACAAAGTAAATGTTTCTGGTCGCATTTCCAGTTGTTTGGCGGGCTGTCTTCTTCGTCTACAATTTACGAACATTGAAAAAAGAAAACGAAAGGTAATTTGAGACCACCTCTGGAGGTGGTCTCAAAAAGGGTCCTCCCACGGCCCCGCAGGCTGCTGACAAAAGGGTCRCSGTGTGAGTATGCCCTCAATGTGACCAGCACTCAGGACCATCACCCTACCAATATCGAGGGCACCTTGGACCAGACAGCAGTGCTGTGGCGGACTTACCWAGTGCCATAGCTGGGACTCCGCGCGCGACCTGGACAGGACGATGACGCCACGGCGGTCATTATAGGGCGGCAGTTACCTGTAGCCTGTAGGTGAGACAAGCAGGAGGAAAAAATCTTCTTCTTCGTCTTTGTCTCGCCCTCCATATCATCTCCCTGAGAGAGAGATTACAGACACATGTTACATCAGGCATAATGCCCAGGATCTGATCCGACATTTTTGCGGCACACTTTGATTGGACACTACGCAAGGGACTATTTTTGGATTTCGCTATCGCAATCTTGGTCTTCTCCCTCGCCTCCATCTTCGTCTTGCCTTTCCCCCCCATCTCTCATATGTGGTATCTCCCCCATTTGCACGTACAAGGAGGGACCTTTTTTCCATATATGTGGTCCCTCCTCCTTCTCTCACATGTTTGGTGTATGATGGGATGTCGCGTCAGTCTCAGTTAGGTCAGGTCTTGTCTTTGACTCGTCCACCTYGCTACATTGTGTCATTTTGTATGTATCGGAATGTACATTGCTTGTTGATGCTTCATTGACACTGCATTGTCTATTTCTGAATTTCAGTCTTTTTCATCACCTTGCAGTTCCTTGGCTCAATACATATTGCCCAATTRAGTATGTATCATATGTTTTCGTCCTCCTCTTTCGACTTTATCTTCCCTCTCTCTCTCTAAGTATGCTAATCATGAATGTCTAAAAGTTCCGATAACTCCCACGTCCCTTMCAATTCCCGAGATTCTGTCTTGCTCATCTCATCGAATTCAATCAGATTTCACGAGGACGAGTATCATTGAATTTAAGATACCTGCAAGCTCATGAGATTCTGCCTCACCCCTTTCTTTGCTTCGTTGTGTACGATAGATTTTGCTTGAGTGATCTCTTACATGTATGTATTGACTGAGTTGTTGCTTTGATAATGGGAAGAAATTAAGAATCTGATATGATGCATGGTCGCACTAATGTATGATGATCATCCTTTTTATTAGATTAACTTGCATGATCTATAAAAGATAAAGCATAGTGTTGTGTTTGCTTATTCTTGTGATCGAATAACGGACTGATTAGACAAGCGCAATCCG